GGAGCTGTTTCGTCAAGGAAAATATTTTCTCTATGTTCTTACCGTAAAGAATTTTCTGAGTGTTGGAATGGACAAATAACTTAATTATTATCCATTGGCAGAATGGGTCTTGTTTTGGGTTAGATCATCACACACGTCATCACACTTTTCAAGTGTACTCAAGAGTAATAGTAAACAGTGCGGATGCGTCGTCATTGCATGTGTTGCTATGGCGACCGCTGCTGTTTTACTTTTCACTAGCAGGCATTTTTAATACATTTACATAATAATAATTTAAAGTATTTTTATATTCTTTTTTATANTTCCTGTTTTGGGGGGTGGTGCATGCCAAGGCACCCCTTCTCACCTGTTCAGAACAAAATATAGAATAGAGCACCGAGTAAAAAAATGCATTTTTTTACAACCCCTTCCATCTGTCTTGTGAGCTTCCGGTTCGGCACGCGCTGAAGCCCCCCCCCCCACTCCCTCCTCTTATTCCTGTCTCTTTCTTTATTCATTTATTATTTACTTATAATGCAATCATTTACAAGTGAATTCTCAGCTCAATCCTCGTTGGCTATTCAGAAGATTTGTTTACAGCTTGTTGTGAAGTTTTCTTTCTTCTTCTTTGTTTTGCTTTATGGAATTTTCTTTTAAAAAAAATAATAAAATTAACTGTGTTTTTCGGAGCTGTTTCGTCAAGGAAAATAAAAAAAAAAAGTATTTTCGCTATGTTCTTACAGTAAAGAATTTGCTGAATGTTGGAATGGACAAATAACTTAATTATTATCAATTAGCAGAATGGGTCTTGTTTTGGGTTAGATCATCACACACGTCATCACACTTTTCAAGCGTCGTCATTGCATGTGTTGCTATGGCGACCGCTGCTGTTTTACTTTTCACTAGCAGGCATTTTTAATACATTTACGTAATAATAATTTAAAGTATTTTTATATTCTTTTTCATTATTAACGTATAATGCCTGGCGTGACGGTGATTTTATTATAAATATATGAATACTGACGAAAGTAAAGTATTTTGTGGCGTCTTGAAATACGCATATAGGCAGGATTCAAAAACCAATCCAACGACAAACATCCATTGAAACAGTTTTGGAACCCATGATTTGAAATGGTGTAGGATTTCTACGAGTCAATCCAGAATGAAAAAGCGTTTGACCAATGGGTAACTAAGGCGATCACAACGTCTTCCCTTTTTTTAATAAATTTCAGTTTTCATTTTTTTTATTTAATGGTTCATTTGGTGAAAGTTGCAGATTTTTATGAGCCTATATAATGCAGCGTTGGAATAACTCTTTAAATGTTTAAAAAAAAATTTGAATTACAAACGCTGTTCATTGTCACGAGCCTGTGACTTTTCGTTCTATTGACGTTCTGCGCCATTTTCAAAATCATCATAACGAATTCTGGCTGAAAATAAACTAAACTTGACCATGGATAATTGCAGCATTTATACAGCATGCAGATTCGCAGGAAAAAAAACCTTTTTCATGTCTTGACATAACCTTCGAAAAAAAGACCTAAATAATTAAAATAGCAAATGAGTTGTAAGAACTGACCATCATTGGATTTACAACATCTGGACTGTTCTACTTGCGACAGATGACTAAGCCTAACGAAAATAAAAGTGGTATTTGTGAATCGTAAACAAAAATAGCAAAATAAAATTCGCTGACAAATTTTCAGATCGTTATCCAGCAGTGTATTCATAATGGCTGATGATGTTTGTAGGCATTCGTAATGATTTATAATTTCGAAACTTATTGAATTTTAGCTCATTCATTGTACTCACAATGAATTGTTCAATGTCTGAATTCAACGTGTTTCACACAAATTCGTTTTTAATTTTTGCTTAAATTAAATTATTTTACTTACTGTACTTTTCCTTTTTTTTTTCTTCTTCATTATTTTCTTCTTTTTTTAAAGAAATTTTTATTTATTTTACAAACAAACAATGCATTATGTATTTGCACTTTGCTTTGAATCATTCTGTTGGGTGATTTACAGTTTAAAAGTGCACTACGAAAGGAGAAAAAACGAAGCAGACGAGAATAAAAACGAGAAAAGACACAGAAAAAAAAAGAAGAAAAAAAAAACGATTCTGTAAATCGAATGTCTGAACTGACCAATCTGTAAGTCTAGGTGTATACTATTTAACACAATCAGTTTATTTATTTATTTATTTTTTAAAAGAAGTAAGCTAAAGACAATTAATATATTTAAAGATATTGTTCCTTCTAATTTGACGCGATTTTATTCCTTGCGCAATTCTTAAAATATTTTTTCCATACATTTTTGTACATTGGTAACGGCAGCAAAGTGTGATTTAATGTTATTAAATGCTACCCACTGGACTGAATGAGCAGTTGAAAGAGGGGTTGATTTTCTACACCACTTCTCACGCTTCCTTGTTTCGTTTTTCCAATCAGCAAAAACTCGCCACTCATGACGTCATTCCATCTCTGACTGTCGTTGGCGACAAGTAAACAGTGATCCTCTCAAACAATGATTTATATAATGATTTATTCCTGCCGATTCAACGACGATTGCCCTCCCCCTCCACCCACTCTTGTGGTTCCCACCCATCAAATGTTCCATTTTCTCTCTCGGCTGCTGAATAACACTACCACAAACATTTATTCTCCTGAAAAATAAAAAAAATAAAAAGTGCTAAAGTTTATTGTACATAGTTGCTCTGAATTAGAATTGAAATTGAAGAGCCTAGGGGAAGAAAGGGTCAAATGATATTTTAAAACAGCTCAAAATATCGGATTTCAGAGGCTCTTCAAGTGTTACATAATTTTTTCCCCCTCCATATTATACTTCATGATTTTGAAAACTCCTAAATTATGCCTTACATTTATTTTTATGGTTATATTTCATGATTTCAGAGCATCTTTGATTATTCCTTAACACTAAACATACCATAACCGATCAAATGACCGTTTAAGAACTTTTGCGCCGAAAATGCGCTTATCATCTTATCGTTTCTGCACATTTGACTTCATGAATTTTTCTAACAATTATATACAGTTAATATTCTATTATTATTATCATTATTATTGTATTTTGTTTGTTTCGAATAATACTTGACGTATACCTATTTCTACCACAACCGGTCATTTGACCGGGAGAACAGTTTATTGCTTTATGAGGATATCGGATCAGAAATGACGATGTAATGCTTCTTCAACGTATTGCATTCGATGAGTTGCACATTTCTGCAAAGACTGTTGCGTTGTTAGTTCACTCAGAATAGCTGTGAAGTTCAAGAAAGTACCAAAAATTTTAGATTGGCATTTTTGTGTCAAAAAAAAGTGACTGAAGCTAAATGTTTTGATAAGTAGCTTACAAGGGAAACTAGGGAAGTGTGACTCGCCAATTTTGAAATAAACTAGTGGGATGTATGCCTTATGAGGAATAATTTTAGGGGGCAACATTCGTTTTGGCCCATAGAAGGTCTTGTGAGGGATAAAAAATAATTCAATATATAGAAAAATCAATATTTTATAACTTCAATGCAGACTATTAGTTATTGTAATTGTCTCATACTCCAATTAATTTGTAATTAATTGGATAAATAATTAGCTTGCTAATTAATAAGTTATTCAGAAAATTTATTAATAAATAATTATTATTAATAATTGTTAATTAATTATTTATTAATTAATTGATTCGGAATTGCATACTCCAATTAATTTGAAAAGTTTTTTGAAAAAAAAAAATTTTTAAAAAATTTGATGTCAATTTTTTTTTAAAAATTAACCTAACAGGTTTTTCTGAAAAACTACAGATATATAAAATTTTCGAAATCAATTTTGACAATAAATATGCATTATATAGTACGTGAAAGTACCACAAAATTAATTGGAGTATGAGACAATTACAATAACTAATAGTCTGCATTGAAGTAATAAAATACCGATTTTTCTATATATTGAATTATTTTTTATCTCTCACAGGACCTTCTATGGGCCGAAACGAATGTTGCCCCCTAAAATTATTCCTCATAAGGCATACATCCCACTAGTTTATTTCAAAATTGGCGAGTCACACTTCCCTAGTTTCCCTTGTTAGATTTTATTTTAATGGCTTTACTTCATTTCTAACTAACTGTCAGTTTTTGCCCAGAAAAATGTGAAGACAATCAAGACAGCACGAGTTCTTTGAAGAAATAATTTTAATTATAAGAATTCTAATTCTAATATATATTCTTATAATTATAAGAATTATAGAAACAATAATAATTAGAAGAAATATGTTTGTGGAAATTGTGCAACACCCTGTATATCTAAAATGCATCCTGTGTATCTAAACACCTGTATATCTAAAAAATGCGTTAAGCAATGAGTTAAAAATTCTTATTATTTGTGCTTGTAATACATAAAAATTAGCAATTTTGTTTAAGTATAATAAAGTGTTTTTTAGTTTATTTCCTTCCTAACATCCATATTTCATGCATTCAATCGAGAAACATTAAGTGCGGTCATTTGATCGGCTATGGTAGAAATAGGTAGTGTTGGTATGTTTAGTGTTAATTACTTTTTTTCTAAGGTTAAATTTCATGATTTCGGAGGCTCTTCGAATGTTCTTTTTCAATGTTAAATTACGTGATTTTCAACGGCTCTGAATTTTCTATAAATAACAAGCTATACAATACTACGTAACTGTTATCTAAACAATATTACTTAAAGAGTGAGAGATAATCTGTTAAGAATAATTCAGTAGTGCTAAAAGAATTTTTTGTTTCGTTTATTTTGGGATCCTTCAGAAACTTGGACAGCTTAAAAATTTTATGTCTTAATTACTAAAAATAAATAAAGCATTTCAAAGATACGTTTTTAAAGATACCAGATATATAATTTTAATTTTGTTAGAATTAAAACGAAAAACATAGGGGGTTTCACTTTCGAAAAAGTTGGGAGAGGGGTTAAGGGATATGCTATGTTTATGTTTTAGGTCTGTTAAAAATAAAAGTGAATATTGTTTTTTTCCTTTCAGCCTGCCTAAAAGACGTGCCTGTAAAATTGCTAGTCTGTACAAAGCTATTAAAACAATCAATCGTTTGACATTTGTAGTCCTGACAAACATATGAGATAAAATATGCAGCTGTTTGAAAACTTTAACGCTGTTTTTCGAAACTCTGTCTTCAAGGAAAAAAATAAAGAAAAAAAAGAAGGAAAAAAAAGAAAGAAAAAAAGGGCATAGCTTAAGTGCCTTACACTTGAAGCAATGAGATGACTTTAAACTCGATATATAATCTTGCCGTGAAGAACTATCAAGGCTTAACTTCAATATTTTTAAAAGTTATTTCACCTTTTTCAATATCGCCAATTTGGCGGCATTTTCCACCTAGATGAAAATAATCAAAATCACACCCTTACTCTCAGTTTTTACAAATTTTTATGCTCCCAGGTAATACAGCATCAGAGTAAGTTTCTAAATATTAAAAAATTAGACGCTTCTCATTTTCACAAAACTGTGCCTTTTCTCCATATTGACGTTTTGCGCCATTTTCCAAATAAGCGTAGACTGCGCTGGTTTTATATAGGTTAAACTTGACCTAATAAGCATAAGTAACAGTTGTAAACTCACCGAAATTATAAAAATAGCATATTATTCGCAAAAAAGTACCATTTCATTTACGATATAGACATCGAAAAACAGCCTTAAAAGTGTCGAAAACTGAAAAGAGTGTCCTTTGTTGTTCTTTATTTTAAAGTTTTTTTTTCCCTCCAGGATTTGGTAATCTATTGTTTTCCAATTCCTTTTATACATTATTTAAAATTGAATTCGCTGTTGATTAAAATTTTTTTCTTCCGTGTATTCCAATGTGTAGACTTTAATAATCATTATAAGGTGGAGTCATTTTTTTAGAAAACTCTCAAATGTCTCCGAAAAACAACCAGCAATTCTTATAAATTTAAAAAAAAAAAAAAAAAAAAAAAAAAAAAAAAACATGTATTAAATTTTAAAAAATTCAATTTTTTACAACTCAGAAATATAATTAAAATTATCTTTCTAAGATTAAAAAAGAAAAAAAAAGAAGAAGAAGAAGAAGAAAATTGTTCTTTTTTGGGGGGCAGTGAAACATTGAAAACATGACGAGCATGCCTCGTAATATAACAGTCAGAAGAAAAAATGTTTACGACGTATACCCGTTAATGTAGTAAAAATAATAATGAGTTTGTAATATTAATTGTGGCAACGTAATTCTTTCATTAAGCTGGATTAATTTTTGCGTGAAACCTTTTTGTACCCCAAAATAACTTCCGTCTTCTGCAAATTTATGTCTCAGATAAAAGAAAAAAAAAAGGAAGAAATGCTTTTTCGGAAAGAGCGAAATAATTAATTGGCTGTACCATCTCCTTTTAATAGCTCTTTGGACGTGTATATAGCTCCACGGGGTCGAATTATGTACCGAAAGTACTTCTTTTTTTTATTTATTAATTTGTGTTGCCACCTCCGATTGTTTTATCTCGTTGCACTGGAATAATTAATTTCTGTAAGCATCCTTTCTATTGAAGTGTTATTAAGATTTATTAAACTGCGGGTTGTGTTACGAAATGAACGTATTGAATGCGGGCATTTAAATTTTATGATGTATAAGAGAAAAAAATAATAATGAAATAATGCGTGAATTGTTTTTAAATTGTTGTGTCAATAAAACTCTTTTTTCATGTACGAAAATAAAATTAATAAACAGATTAATATATTTCTAACACCAAACTCTAACTGAAAAATATGCAATTTATAATTATCATATATTAATTTCCTTCAATTATTCATTATTGTACATTAATTTCCTCATTTATATAAGTAAAATAAATACATAACTAAAAATAAATGTTTTTATATTGTGCTATGATGATTCGTTTCAATTAAGCTGAATATAACATTAATTTAATGACAAAAGTTTTTATTGATTACAAATATTTAGAAAGCTATAAATTCCAATTTCAGTTTGACGTTTTTCCAAAATAGATAAATTAAAAATTGTTACCAAATATAAGGAATTATTTTAATGCAATCTCACAATTTAACTGGGGATTTAAGATTTTTTACAGAACCCTTGGAAAATCTCTATGGAACCCTGGGGTTCTGCGATATACTTAATTAGAGAATTCCTGCTCCATGGTAAAGAAATAATTCTTTGCACGATTCTGACTTCTTGCAATAGATGGCGCTATAATAACTTTCAATAAACTCCTTACTGTTGATGCAAAAGATTCACTAGTGTATGGCAGAAAAAGTTGACGAAAGGAGCTGTCTCCTCTATGAACGACAATTTATCTCGAACGTTTTTCAAATTTAGAATATTCTTTCAAATTTAGAGTAGATCACAAATTTTAACAATTAAATAAAATTATTGTTGTTTACTACACGCTTACTTCTAATTATAAAAAAGAAGATTTAAAACAGATTTACATGTTTTTGAAATTATTGTAGCTTTTCTTTTCGTTATGTGTACATATTTTATTAAAATACTCGGAGACAAACTTCAATTTATCTCTTTTATTTCTGTAATTTTTATTTATTTATTTATTTTATTTACGACATGTCATCTAATTAGTCTTGAAAAATTAATAACAGATAATAAAGTATAAAAAATTCTGCAATCACGACAAAGTTTCAAGCTTTTTACTACAATTATGCTTTGCAACAATTTGTGAACAAAAAAAATAAAAAATAAGAAATGCCTCGATATACCTTATTTTATTTAAAAATAGTGAACTTAAAGGGATAAAAAAAAATCTTTTCTGGTCTACTTTGTGAAGGCTATTCAATTAATGAGGATCTTCAAATTTGTTTCCTACTTTTCAAATTTTTTTAAAATAAAGTTATCAGAGCAAACAATTATTTTAGATTAAACAATTGAAGGGTATTTTTAGTATATTACTCTTCAACTAAAATATATTCTATTGTATTTATGAAAGGTAGAGATTTTTATTTTAACGCATTTTATATCGAAAATATGGAAATCCATATTCTAACATATTCTAACATATTTCTTATAAAAAAAATGACGAAAAAATAATGTACAATTTTCTTATGCTAAGAACATGAAGACAGAGTTTTCAACATATTGGTTTTACATAAATATAAATATGGAGGTTTCCTATTTTGAACATATTTTATATGTAAAATGCAAATTTTCATTCGAAAAATAAAATTAAAAAAAAGACAGCGATTACCTATTTAAATTTTTTACAGAAAATATTATTGCAGAGATTTTCCATTTTTTAATACATTTTATATCGAAAATAAGAATGCAGGTTTGCATATTCATACATATTTTTTCAGATGATAATAATTAAAATCGAAGATTAAAATAAATAAAAATTTCTACATGCTCTTCTTGCAGAAAATATGAAGGCATACTTTCCTCTCATTCTAATTTATTATAGAAATTATGAAAGCAGAAAATTTATATTTAATGTATTTCGTAGAAAAGAAAAATTGAATGTAGATTTTCATATTCAAACATATGTCTCATAAAAAAAATGAGGAAAAGAGAATATGCAGAGTCTTTATTATATCTTAACGCATATCTTACATAAAATATGAATGAAAACTTTTCTTGTATTCTAACATATATATATAATTGTTATTAATAAAAACATGTGAATACAGAATTTTCTTACATTTAAACTCAGTTCTTATAGATAAACGAATGCAATTTTTTTTTATATCTATGCATATCAATTTTATATAGAATACAATGTTTTAATTGTACTTTAACATCAGCAGGCCCTTAAACGGAGTGAAAGTTAAAATTCGTTCCGAAAAGTCTCCGTGTCGCATAATAATTCAAACAGTTAAAAGGTGAATGACCACTACTCCTACAACTTTTTCATCACCCTTCTCTAAATTCGAGTAATAGCGGGTGGAGAGACTTTTTTTTTTTCTTCTCAGCTTCTTTTAAATCAACCATCTGCGCTATAGCGGATGGTTTTGATGAATGAAACCCCGTTAGGCATCTGCAAAGATGACGTCGGGTAGGAGAACGTGAGCTAGAGGCGAACACATTCAGACGATTGTATTCTTTACTGCTCTAGTTATGTAAACAAGATGGGATTACATTAAGATTATTTTTAAGTCCTTTGTGCGCGAATTATCCGATAATATTTTGTAGAGAAATCATAAATTGCCACGAAACAAGCGTGTAAGCGAAATACTTCAACCAGAAAATAAGAAAAATATATTATAAAACATTTGCTGCGTTGCAAACGATTCTCTTTGAGGACTGTTGTCTCCTAATATTAAAGTTCGGGGAAATTCTAACTTCATATTTTAAACTAGAAATATCTCAGTTTTTTAAATTTGGCATAATCTTTGAACTAATTCTACCAAAATTTAGTACTTTTGATGTCCCTTATTTCCAAAGAAAAAAATTTTAAATTTTAAACGATTGCAAAAATTTATCGCTTGTCGACACGTTTGCTCCAAAAACTATCCCCTCTCTCTCTCTCTCTCTTAGCTTAAGATGTTAGGAAAAGAATTAATATTTCTATTGCATTTCTTTTATTTTAAGTCATAACTAACATGATTTTTATTTATTTTCTTTTGTAATTTCCATTTCCTGCTTTTTACACTCCGTTCTTCTTTTTTTTTCATTAAAAAGACAATTTAATGTTAAATTAGATTATTATTTTTCTTCTTTTTTTAACAAAACTAAATTAAAATATTTCCAAGCCACAACAATTAAAATTTGATAATGAAAATCTATGTTTCCATCATCTGCTTGCGTCACGATACTTTAAGTAGCCTTTAAACTGAATTATCTAGAGAAAAAAAAGTGTTAAATAGCATGAAAACTTCTTTGGAAATTGTACTTAGCGGAGAAGCAGTTTTGTTCTTTCAGTTAAGGGGAAACAACACAGTAAAATGTTCGAAAATTAGAAGAAAAAATAACAGTTTCTTTCTTAAGATTATTGTACCAAAATATTAAATTGACTTTCCTAAAAACATAAAAGTTACAACGTAATTTGTCGGGAGTAGCTGTGACATGTATGAAGAAGTGAACACTCAGTTGATTAATAGATTTGCTCACTCCCATGAAAACATTTTAGTAAAATACTATCATTTTAACTATTTTATTAAAAGAATTTATTTAAATTATGTAAGAAAAGGAGTTAATGGTACT